TCAGCTCCGGCGTCCACTTGTCGGAGTCTTTGCCCCAGGCGCCCTGCGGACATATCCCACAACTGCGCATGGGTTCGGCGTTGATGTTCTTTCGAGTAGCTTTCCAAGGGGGCTAAGACAGCCGTACAAAATGCATGGTTTACGCGGTTTTTGTCTTTCTTTTGAGTGGCCCCACAAAGGAGCTTTGTGTAGGACATTCTGCAAGCGGGGATTTGCCACTTTTGGAGGGCAATGGCGAAGGACACCGTATTTTTAAACCTGATCTTTTGCGATTTCCCACATGTTGAAGCGCACTTCCTTCAAGATCAGGAGTGATTCGAAATGGCTGGAAGACTTCGTGGGCTCCGAGAGACATCGGGGACGGGTAACCCCCATGGGTGGACAATCATCCGACCTTCTGCAAAATCCTATAGAATATGTCCAAAACCTGAAAACAAATTGGATCCGCAAATAGTGGCTCGCTTTACCCCCCCCCACCAGGTGAGCTTGCCATGAAACAAGCAGAATCATGTACATGATATCCACCAAAGGTCTGACCAATTCAAATTCATACTCATACCCATTTTGGGCGGGCCTTCAAACGCTGAGCCTCTAAAATGGATGGCCTCCTTTGCCGTGCATTTTGAAAGGAACCCAACAACGGGTAGTTACCCTCCAAAAAGACTAGCCTCGTTCATGCCTGTCTTGGCATAGGGACGCCCAAATATTGCTTCGCACATACACTTTTTCTTTGCCCTTTTCCTTTGAAACTAGCCAAGAGGAGAGTCCCCAACAAGGACCTGCGGACACACTTGGTCCCAATTTTGTTTGGACCCCCTCAACAAGCCCCGTGTCCCGCGCCTTCCAGGTTCTTGGCGCGCGCTCGCCCCAGGGGTTCCGCACTTTCATCATCCGCAACAGCTGGCCATTCACCTGCCAGAACATGTCCGTGTGTATGTGCCTGTTTTGAGGCTTCTTTCTGGGTAGGCGGAAAGTTGAAAGGGGATTTGGGGTCCAAATCCCTTGAAACATATTTGCATGGTTGTGGAAACTCACCCGAAATCTGTGATACCAATACGGGAATGAAATTCATGTCTATACTTTAGCACTTTGCAGGGGATTTTTTTGGTATCACCAAAAGCGCCCTAAAACCCAAAACCACACTTCTCACAACCGTGGACACGGGTCTGTGACCGAACGGGTTGGGTCATAGCAAGCTTATGAAACCTTTGCTTAAACATTAAAAGTGTTTACACCACTTCCATTTGACTTCCCATAAAGGTCCCCGGACGAGCCCGTTAGCGAGCAGGCATTCATATTTTCTGGGGTTGTGGTCCCTATCGGTCTTTCCCGTGATGACACCAACGTGCCCTTCCGGACGCTGGGCAAGCTGGCCAGCAACCAATTCAGAGACTGAGTGACTGATGAGGGTCCCGATTTCAATCCATATGGAACGCCCGAAATATAGTTGCCTTCCAAACCAGGCTGCCAGTTGCCCCCAAGGCTGCCACCCGAACAAAAGACACCAAGGCCGGACTTGATTGGCGTTTCTAAACAATCCGACCTCATGGTTTGCTTATTCCAAGAACACCATGGGTGCCTCATGTTTTCTGAATTGCCTTTAGTTTGAATCCTGTAAGCTGATATAAATGGTTGAACGCCGCCACCGGCCTGAACTACTGCTCAAGGGGTCAGAGCCCCCAATTAGCTGTCACAGGTCGAGTGTCTTCCCAAGCTCCCGCCTCGACCTCCCTCGCGTCCAAGATACCGTATGCATGCGGCGCCTGCCATATCCATGGTGTCCGTACGTAACGTGATTGCCCACACCGAAAAGGTGGGCCTCCCCACATGCACTGCAAATGCGAGTTCCATATGGGGTATCTGCGACGCATCCCAAACCTCAAAGTGACATACTTCCGGCTCAAGGGCGTGAGAGCTGACGAAGTGCTTGAGGGGTGGCCTATGCTTCGTGCATACTTTGAAGAGCACTCTTATGGGATTTGTTGGAGTCATTGCCGATTGCCAGGCTTGTGATTTGAGCACGGACCACGCCCCATACCGGTCGATTGACCGGTCGTCACAAGGAACATCTGAGCCATTCGACATCATGGCGGCTCTCTTTTGGGGCGGAACGAAATGGCACAATCCTTAAAATCACCCCCTGTGGTTTAACCCCCACCCCCCGCTCCCACAGGTCCCTCCAAATGCATTCGCTTTAAGGGACCCAACCCCCCCCCCCTCCAATTTTTAACCCTCCCCCATGTGTGAGTTGTGATGCCTGCAAACCCATCTCCTCGACAATGTGATGCTTGGTCTTCTCACCTCAAGCTTCGGCCAGTGGTTTCCCTCCAAAATGGCCCTCAAAAGACGCGCCTGGACTGCGGCTCTAGTTTTGGTCTCCCTTCATTCCAAAAGTTACACCATCTTTCCCCCACCAATCCACGACCCCACGCACGCGCGCAAACCCAGTCACCAGTCTTCGCCATGGTTTTCGCCTAAGGCACAGGCAGCCTTCCTCTGTGCAGCCCATGCCCATCAAATACCTCGCTGCTACACCGACATGAAAGATGGCGAGTGGTCCTGGGAAATCGGAACGAGTGCCTTGCACAGCTCTCATGTTGGAAGGAGTTGCAAGATGCAAGCAAAGCGTGAGACAATTGGGAAATTATTAAACCTGGCGAATTACCGTTTCCTGATTTCACTTTCTGGCGTCCAAGCAGAAATGTGAACTTGTTGCGTGTAAGGCTCCCTCAACGAGTGGGGGCTGATGTCAGCTCATCTACAAATGACAAGAATTGTTGGCTCATAAGTCTGTGGCTCTCATTCATTACATTGACCCCAGAATCCAAGATGGTAGAGGTACAGTGAAGAAGCATCCAATAGCAGCTGTCCCCCAGGATGCTTATTTTGAGCCACACCCACTCTGCGACTGCTTGGACAAAGACGCTTCCGCTTGGCTAGGTGTTTTGTAACGACATGCTCAGCCACTGCATGGGACATTTTGAGTGAGTCCTTCGAAATCGGGCTTCTCTGGCAAACCTTAGCGAGTCCCCCGGTGTGCCTCCCAATCCAGGCGCACCCTGACTCGCTGGCTGAAAGTATCTTGGACCATTTGAGGTCGTCATTCTCCATGTCATCATCGCTGTCCTGGCCCAAACAAGTAACTTCCTAACAAATGGTTTCCTAACTAGTGGACACCTAAAAATGGTTGGTATCATTGAAGGGGCCCCCCAATCCCACACTGCATTTACTCCCATCAAGCCACCTGATGCGTGGCATGCTATGACAAGCTGCCTTCCTTTCTGACAATGCCTGGCACTCTAAAAGATCTTAACTCACATCGCTCAAACTGCTTTGCTTTGCCATCGCGCCTCTTGGTCTGGAACTTCCAGCCCCTGCAAATCGAAACGCGCCGTCGCTCGAACAGCTGCTAGAACGCCAAGCAAACTATGCCGAGACTCTCGGCCACGGGAGCTCATGGAATCTGGTTTAATCCGCAAATTAACATGGAACCTGAAAGGGGTCCTCCACAACGAGATTCCTTGAACAAACTAGATGGCTTTTTTTGGCTCCAGTTAAATGTGTAGGGGAATATCTTGGCAGCTGCACGTCTTGCTCGACTCTTGAGTTGATCACCTGAATCAGCATCATGGTGCGCTCTTCAGCAATCTGCTTGCCTGGCACAGAAAGCTTGCTTTTGTTCGCGCTTCGACTGCCAAACCCAGTGCTTCCAGCTACCCATAGTAGGCAACCAAATATTTTGGTGCCTACCATGGGTAGCCGGAAGCACTGGGACATGATGGTTTTCCCTGGACACCTACTATGGTGATAACTGGACGTATACTATAGTGGCAACTGGAAGCAGTGGCAAAGGCAAGCAAATCAAGCTGGCTGGGGGCGGCGTCTCTCCTCTCGACGCCGTCGCAGCTCCTTCGGGATGTACAGCCTCGATTTGTTGTTCTTGCCCACAGGCATGCTGAAGCAGTCAAAAGAGGATAAAACATGTTGACCCCGGATTCATCAACCGCAGTTTATGAATTGGGGGCCCTCCAATAGTGTTGATTCCCCACTAAATCCAGGGACACCCCCCTATTAATAAACTAGGGTTGATTCATGTGGGGTCAACATTGTGCAGGTTCTGATCATCTAAGCAATCTCTGCGCTTCATTTGTATTACAACCTGGGCTTACACCCACTAATGTGTCCTGTGGCTTCTTTCCCGGAAACAACTTGTGCTAGACCAATTTGGGTCGGTTCCCGAGATGTTAATCCACGGTGTAATACAAAGACAATTGACAAGTAGCTGCACGAACATTCATAGAGACTTGACCAACACCCGACCAGGAGCAGATCGCTTCTTTGGTTTAATCATCTCTTTTAGATGTCAGACCCAGGGTTCTCCCCAAAGCATGACACATCCACCAAAGGGTGTAAACAAACACAACGAAGCCTCAGATCCGCCCATTTGGCATGTCACAGCCTCAGGTTTCGGCGGAATTCGCTGCGTTGGGAAGCCTGTGAACAGCGCTAAAGCCTCCGGCCGCCAATCAAGAAAGGCTTGCTGCCGAAGAATGGGGGGAAACCGGTACCCGTGCTTTGTTGATTTCCAGTTGGGGGATTGGAACTATAAGGGATTCTGTTGGCTTCCTATACCCTGGTTTCGTTGGGAGGAAATCATTGAACATCTGTGGTGTGGTTTCTTTTTTGGGGAAGGGAATCATTTTCGGACGAAGCGTCCACAGGAAGGATGTCAATGTCCAGCCACAAATCCGTGGAACATGTGTTGAATGACCAGTGGACCAGGGAACTGCATGTAGTTTGGGGCAAACCGCTAGTCACTGGAATCTCTCTCTCTCTCTCTCTCTCTGACTCGCTCGCGTTGTGACGGAGTTTTGCAGTTCGAACCACTGAACTGTCAATGATACCAGATCGGATTTGGACATTCCTGATTTGGCTTTGGGCCCCCAGCAACCGTAGGTAACCAGCCATGGCTTTTAAAGGGCTACCTTGCTTCACTGGGACTATCGCGTCTGACCGTCTAGCTTCCAAGCCTCTCCGAAGGTCCCGCCCTTCATGCCGGCATAGTTCCCGAAAAGCTTTGCCGCTGCCTGCGTGTCCAAGGCGAGACCCTTGTTGCATGACATTCACATTACTTGGTCCACGCCCGTTAGAAGAACATGTCTTTTTTTTCTGATTCAGCTAATATATTTAGTCTACCCTAAAACGTGAAATAGGTTGGAAGGAGACCCCAACAGAAAACCCCAAAAAACTCTGCGCAAATGTTGGGGTCGCCAGTTGGAACCTCTGAGAATGCCATGCACGCCATGGGGTTGGCTCCTTAGACGCGTGAGATCAACATCGCTCCAAAAACCACCCCAGCGGAACCTACTCTGGGGGCACTAGATTTGGGATTCAGTTCCGCGTGATTTGTTTTTGGGAGGATCACCTCACTTCCTGAGTGGATTGGCCAAAAAACCGTCTGAACGTCTTACATTTACCACTAAACTGGTCTTCTCGCAAGCTATAACGTCCAGGAACTCAACGAGTTCGTAGCAATGGTTCCCAGTTGAATCTTGGGGTCGATCCAGTCCGGCCCTTGGATTGTGAGGGAGACTTGGGTTCCATCAAAAGACAGGCCCAGGCGCGGCGGGGGGGGGTGCCCATGAAAACTGTTCAAACGTCATTAAACAAAAACAACATCCAACTTGCCACATGGATTTTCAGGTGACTGAGGATTGAACCGATGTTTGCGACCCGCGAAACGACTCGGGTTTAAACGCCACACCTGAACCATAGTTAGGCAGATGGATTACCTATAACTATGCTAGGCCTGCCAATCTGTTTCTGTATATCCCTAAACGGCAGTATTCACGGCTCTAGACCTTGTTGGTTCCCCTGAATCCTATCCTAAAGATGGCACACAGTTTTGACTGGTGCCCTAATAGCAGAAGAGAAGGCTAACGACAAATCAGGTCACTATTTGTATTGTCCCCATGGGGTCTGTGCCCAGATTGCCCCAGTTTCCATGCATGGATGCATTGATCAAACTGCTATATTTGCAAAAAAAACTGTACATGGAAGATTCCCTAGTTTGACACGTCGCGCAATTTGCTCTATACCAGTAGATGCTACCCTCCAGCACAGAATTGAAATCAATGAGAGGATGCACTTTGGAGAAAATGGGTTTGGCAGAACCTTGAGTTGGGTTCCATGGCAACGTGGGTGGGTATTTATCCGCCGACATTGATAGAGGATAACCCCCCCCCCCGCCCGACGTCTGGGGGGTACCCCACGTACCGCGCGGCAATTTGATGACGCTCCACTAAACGTAGTCTTCGGGGAGCCGGTGTCGCAAAACAGGGGTCCCAGGCTCGATTCCCCCTGCCGGCTCTTTTGCTGGCTTGGGCTTCCTGCCTCCTTTTACCCAAAAAAACTCTGTGTTTTTGGACGTCCTCTTTGCGAAAACGCTGGAAAAGCTGTGTTTGTTTTTGCGGGAAATACTGGGGAGCAAAGGGGAGATGCAAGGAAGTGCAAGGAAATGAGGGGAGGAAATAGGAAGTCGACATGACATGAAAGCAACGAGAAATGAACGGGAAACAAAGGGCAACTGAAAGGGACATGAAAGGGACAGAAATGAAAACAAGGGGAGTGCAGGGGGAATGAAAGAGAAACAAGGCACAAGGAAACCAATCGGTACGACGGGAGATGTAGGGAAATGACTCGCAACGCAAGAACGGGACATTCATGGAAAATGAAGCGGACATACCGAGAAAATGTCAGGGACATGAGGGGGGAGTTGAAAGCAATGGAAGGGACATGACCGGGACATCATGAGAAACATGAAAAGGACATGAAGGGGAAATTAAGGGGAAAGCCAGTTGTGAGATGACAGTTCAGGGTCATGAAGGGGCAGTGCCCAGACATTGAGGCAACTCAGGGGGGACGTGACGCTGCAATGCAGAGAGAGAGAGAGAGAGAGAGTCAGGGAGGGAGCGGGAGAGAGAGAGAGGGGGAGAGAGAGAGAGAGAGAAAGAGAGAGAGAGAGGGAGGGAGAGAGAGAGAGAGAGACACAGAGAGCGAGAAAGAGGGAAAGCGAGAGAGACAGAGACAGAGCCAGAGGCAGAGAAAGAGACAGAGAAAGAGACAGACAGAGAGAGAGAGAGGGAGAGAGACAGAGAGACACAGAGAGAAACACAGAGAGAGAGAGAGAGACAGAAAGAGAGACAGAGAGAGGGAGAGAGCGAGAAAGAGAGACAGAGAGAGAGAGAGAGCGAGAGAGAGACAGAGACAGAGCCAGAGTCAGAAAAAGAGACAGAGACAGAGAGAGGTAGAGAGAGAGAGAGAGAAAGAGAGAGGTAGAGAGAGAGAGAGAGAAAGAGAGAGACAGAGAAAGAGAGACGCAGAAAGACAGAGAGAGAGAGAGCGAGAGACAGAGAGAAAGAGCGAGAAAGAGAGAGAGAGAGACTAGGTCCTCCAGTAGAGAGGATAGAACGAGGGTACCCTTTTTCTGTAGAGGGGTGTGGACAGGAAGGAGACAGGGAGACAGAAAAAGACAGAGAAACAGAGAGAGAGAGAGAGAGAGAGAGAGAGAGAGAGAGAGACATAGAGAGAGACAGAGAGAGGGAGATTGAGGAGAGAGAGGCTTGGGGGGATGGGGAGGATCGGGAGCGGAGGGAGACAAGGAAGAGATGAAGAAGGAGAAAAGGGAGAGGACAATGTCGGCGGAGTGAGCCGGAGGCTCTAAAGTTTATTGCCAAGTCGTGTCTCCAGGAAAATTATATAACCCCATTTTGCCTCCCCACCAGGCGCCTTCTCGACATAAGGCACCCAAAGCTGTCGCCGAGAACCTGCCCAAATCTAAGATGGGGCGTTTGCGAGTTTCTCATTCAATCCTGTTTTCAAGCCTCGAACCTCTTTTTTGACTTCCGGTTTGTCGTTTCTTTTATGGGCAACATCCCGGCCAGACTTGAATGGAGGCAAATTTCGACAGCTCTCAGAGATTGCCATTTCTTTGCCCAAGCTGTCACATCTCATTATCCTTGGTAGAAACTGTCACAATCTCCATCGGCCTTGAAGGTAGCAGAGGGTTCCACCGCGGGAGTAGTAGATAGTTCCCCCATCCTGAGTAAGGCGAGCCCAGCCCACAGGCTCGAACGGCAAAACTCAGACAACAAGAAACCGGCGGAAATGGGATCATTGGAATGGGGACAGGGGCCAAGGCTCAAGGAATTAACTTGCAGTGAGTCCTTATAATTAACCGAGGCCCGCTATCAAAGGAGCCTATGCAAAGCGGTTTTTTGTCGTTCAGAATGATCTTGCTTGATCTTCAACTTCCCAGGTCAAAATCCTGGATCGAATGTCGACGAAAAGGGCAGCCGAGGCGCTACGTAACCTTCAAATGTCTGAGATGTCGGAAGAAGGTCATCGATCAGAATCCTGCCGGGAACCAGGCCGAATCTGCATCGTTCTAATCGGGGGTGCTCCTTTTGAGGGAAATCATCTACCAGTCTACCTAGAGGGTTCTTCAGATAGGTTCCTGCGGATAAATCCGAAGTCAACATTCTATAGCATCACCCTTGGTCCTTCGCCAACTTCCGGCATGATGGAGTCGAAGCAAATAGGCCCCGTTCGGGTTGAACTCCTGCAGAAACGTTTCAAACAGTCCGGAACCTGTCAAATTCGGGACCCGCCCCACGTAATACTCCGTTCAACATCATCCGAACACAGAGCATACACGTACAAAAACAAAACAAATGGCAAAACGAATGGCAACACCCATCGTGCGCGGGGCGACAGATCTGTGGACTCCTTGGTCTCAAACAGATTCTCCACCATCTTGGGGCAGGTGGCAACGACCTTCGCTGGCGTGTGTAGCAAGGGAACATAGGGGCGTCCTTGAAAAAGGGGCGGAGCAACTATCCGGCCAACATCGTATTCCCAGACTGGAAATTCCCCAGGAAACGACCTTCATCTTGGGCTTTCGCTCGTTTTACCCGTTGGTGAGCTTCGAATGTGCATGACATCATCTTAAGGGCCCTTAGGTTGATACATTCCCAGTTTTGAATGTCGACCACGAAAATTATGCTTCGTATTTTGCCACCGTGAAATGTAGCATGATTCTGCAAATTTGACTATAATTCCAAAAGCTGAATTAAGCATTGGATCCCCAAGAAAAGGACCTTTATCATGGTGAGCTCGTTATACCCCCAGATGAGCTCGCCATAAACATCGGCAAATAACTCTAGAGGAGGCCCCCTGGTTTCGTTTTGGGTCCGCTGAAAACCATGGCCCCGACGCTCAGCGCGCCCGCAAACCAGCAATTGCCCAGGCCACCTTGACACACGTCCTGCAAGCGAGCGCAAGATGTGGGTTGGTCTTGGGGAAATCCCTTTTACAGGTCTTAAAACCGGGCCAACGTGAAACAAACCATGTTGGAGAGGCTTTAAAATGCGGATGGCCCGGATGGCTGACTTGAAACTTGCTGGTACCAATCCATGTGATTGCTGCCGGACCAAAATGTGACGTTGATCTCTGAAGTTGTAAGGGGGCCTGCTTGTCAACAGTGACATCCTCACAATGACCCTCTAGCTTGTTTCAAGGGGTTCCCCACAAGAAAACCCATTTGTCAAACTTTTTCGAAGGGACCAAGAAAAGGGCCCGTTTTGTACTCATCCCTCCTTCCCTGACGTCCTCTGCACGAGCTTCGCCGCGGATCAGCTTCCAAGGTGAACCAATGGTCGTATTCGACCTGGGCGGGCAAGGGCAAGGGCACAACCCATCACACAGACATTGTCTGTGCCATTTTCTAAATTCCCAAAGGGTCCATGACTGTCCCTACCAACCCCAAGCAAAAAGGTCCTTTGAGGATGGAAAATATAGGCGTTTCCGAAGGGCGAGCCCAAAAGCTGGAGATTCCTCTTGGTCTCGCTTCAAACGCCAAACCCTCAAATGTCCAATAACCTTTTGCGCACGTTCATGCAGGGGGCAGACATCCCTCTACCTGTGCCGAAGAAGCTAAGTTGCATGCATAGAGTCGCGCAGAAAATGAGGGCATAAACGAGGAAGAAGCTCCTGTGCACTGAAACCCCGAAGCAGGGTGGGGGGGGGTGGCATGGAACCAGCTAATCCTGAACCCCTGAAAAGGATGGGAACACTGCACATTGACAAACGCAAAGCAGAAGGACATTGAGGAAATAACTAGCTCGAGTTGAGTGGCACTCGACAAAAGGACATGAGCCAAAGCCTTAAATGGATTTCATACTTCAGAAACGGACAAACTTCCCTGGACTTTCGACCAGTCCAACGGGAGTCGCCAAACGTACCCGTGAAAACGCCCACGACGCTGTCGCACCCAGAAAAGGTCTTGCCACCTCAAGCAAAGCTCCCTCCTTCATGGGCCCTTCGCTTTAAGTGCTTGAACCCTGGGCCAGCTTTCGGCACTTCCTCGATGACAAAGCGACTTGTCCCAGGATCAGCGTAGTCAGGTCCAGTTGGCTCTAACTTGGCTGCCTCCTTGTTTTTTCTGCCCAGTCCTTCCCCGCAGCGAGGTGCCCGTACAGAAGCTCACACCTGGTCACAGGAGCAACTGACCACAAGTGACTTGGGGGCCTGGTCAAAACTCCAACTTTTCGGGCCATGGTCTTCGGTCGCCCGCTCCTTCAATCGAGATCCCTACGCTTGTTGCAACACCAAGTAAGCAGGGCGTTAGACCATACACATATCCATTGCCCGTTGTCGACTCTTGCCTTGTCACCCAGGGTTCCAACGAAATGGAAGGGATGGAACGAGCGGATGTGCGTGTGTGTGTGAGAAAAAGAGAAAGAGAGAGAGAGAGAGAGAGGAGAGAGAGAGAGAGAGAGAGAGAGAGAGAGAGAGAGAGAGAGAGAGAGAGAGAGAGAGAGAGAGAGAGAGAGAGAGAGAGAGGAGAGAGAGAGAGGAGAGAGAGAGAGAGAGACTATTCTAGGGATCTCCTCCCCCTCCCACAAACATGGCATCTGAACAGGGTCTCTTCAAGAGGACATTGATCTTCCGAAAAGCCCTCCCTCAAACCTATGTTGGTGAGAAGAATTGTAAAGCAAACACCAGGGCCCCTTATAGAATACGCCCCAGAATCACCTGATACAGGCAGCAACCCCTTGAAGTAGCTGATAAAGACTGTCTTGAATATAGCCACAATGTGTTCCCGCTGCCTTCACGAACCAGCTTTTTGCCGAGATAAATCGCTTCCCAATCCATACCATGTCCAGCTTCTCATGGGAATGACATGCAAGGCGCGCCCTTGGCAGTGCTCGCCGGGTCTCAGCCACTGTGTGGGTCTTGAAAAGAAATGGACCTGGCGTGAGAGCGGTCAATTGGCTGGAACTTGGAGAGTAAACCCTTGGGCTAGAGTAATAACCCGGGTTTCTCGTGCTGAACTTGGAGAATCAACGTTGTTTCTCGTGGAACTCAGGTTTGCCGGGGTGTTCTTGTGACTTTCGAGCGACGTGGGAATGTGGCCGGTAACTTCTTTGGTTCTCGTGGTAATCAGGTGAGCGGCCCATGTCGAGGAACAAACAAATCTCGAAACCAACAGAGATCCAGACTCAGCCTCAAACTCAAGCGAGGGGAGCAAGTTGAAGGTTGAGTTGTTGGCTTGTTTGAACATAATTGTTCTTGAGTCTCCTGTTTTGAGTCGCATAAACAATTTATGCCAAGATCCTTGTCGTGCTTCTCAACCTCTCATGTCTGAACACATCCGGTCATCATGCCGGCAGCAAGGAAGCAAGGCAATTTGTGAACAGGATGCGCGGGCGGAAAGAATACAAACCCACACACACACACAATGAGAAACACAAACAAGCATAAAAGGAGAGCCTGCAGCAGAGCATGAATCAGGCAAGTTCATTTGGTGGCCACTACGTTGCCTCAGAGTCCTTCATGCAGCTTCGCACACTTGAACCGGACCATTTGGCACGCACCTTGATCGCATAGTGCGCCGGCTCCTCAATGCAGGTCTAAGACCAAACGCCCTGCGTGCAAGGAACGTTAAAAGTGGGCGCCCACTTTTGGAGGATCATTGACATTCGAGCAGAAAAACTATCCCTAGACCGCTTCATCCAGGGTCAATCTGCAAACCTGCGATGTCTGACGACTCGGTATCTGTCAGAGTCTATCATGATCTTGAGAACCAATTTGCTTCACTTCACTTCGCCCAAAAAACCAGCATCGGGTCGAGCCAATCCGCACCGGAGCCTGTGACCCTGTGCGGCCAAAGGGCGCCGCATCCCACGCACCGCACTTTGGCTGCAAAGTCCGCCTCCTGCTGCTGAGCCTGGCGGGAAAGGGGAAACCCACCTGAAGGTGCCAAAAGATATTCGGATGTTCTCTATCGGTTGGGAGCTTGCGAACACCGATAAAATAGTGTTTTCGCGCTAGTCGAGACTTCAGCATCGATAATGCTCAAGTCAACCAAGGGATGCCATGTCGGAACCGCGGGGCAGCCTGAAGAGTCTCTTCTGCTCTTCTCATTGAGGGCCATACTTTGAAGCCTACTTAGAGCGATCTCAGAGTCTCACGGACTGGACCTTCACCGGTCACGGCATTTTACCGAGGACTCGTTGTTTCAGCCTGGACTGCGGCACCGGAGGTTTGGGCAGGCCGAATTCCGTTGGCCCAGTCATCAAAACCTGGCAACCGGTAAGCCTCCCCCCGAATGGAAGACCCCCCCCCCACCCCAGGATTCCACGGGCCCAGGACGCAACCAGCATTGTCAGCTGTTGATTAGAGACATGTCCTCAAGCACTGGTTGTTGGCCGCATGTCAAGATGACCTCAATGACCAAGGCGTCATATCACATCACACCAGGCAAGTTGTCGTTGTTTCCAGCGACCATGCACGGCATTCTTCGTGGATCCTTCTAATTGGTGACCCGTTGATCCACGGGGATGTCTGTCCGTTTTCAGTTGGCCATACTGCGCCATACTTCCCCATGGTTAAACAGAATAGCAATCATTTGGCTAACAATCATGTTTTGTTCCCAGCCCCATGTTAGTGGTGTTTGAAGGGAAACGAAAATGAAAACCACACTTCTTTGGGGGGTACATTAGAAAAAGATACACCCACATGGTTAAAACTCCTACTGCGGTGACGCACTGGGCCTCCTCTTGCGACTTTGGCAACGGCGGGGAGGGCGGCCTAAAAAGTCGCCGCAAGGAGCGAAAGGTGAGGGGTCCATGCGACCTCGAGGAACCCGGTTTTGAAACCCTTGGGATTGGGATTGTACTTTGGGCGAACTCCAAGAATGGCATCCGGAGCCGCAGAATCCCCAGAGGCCCAGAACTTCACTTTTCCCGCCAAAAGTTGAAGTCCTTCATGTGAGGGAAGGCATCTTGATTTGGGCAACTGGCCTCCGCCGTGCACCAGCCATTGCAAATCAACAGCATGACTCACAAGGAACTTCAAACTGGCCTTCAATTGCCATTTGCTGCAACTGATGTAAGACGTAAGCGCCTTACTTCCCAAGCGGATTGACCAAGACAAGACCAAACTGTTGGTTTACCACTAAACCTGCAGAAACAGTCCAGCTCCCCTTCCCGAAAGTGGCAAAAGTGACAGTCCAACAAATTGGGCAGTGAGAACTCCGCTCCAGATCAGCTCCCCTCTAATGGTTTGGATTGTTCTGGGGGTTTCCCATTTACCCTCTCCAAAGCCAGATCCAAACCTCTCCAAACCAAAGGCCGACCGAATCCGTGCGCCGCCCTGCCGTGCTCCGAGGCTCTCGCAGCGGCGACAGAGCCTTGCAATTCAGGCCTTGGCTGACAAACCGCTCAGCCCGAGTTTCTCCGTTGGTGATTCGTGGCAGATCCGAAATTAACCCTGCTTGTGATCATACCCATGAAACCAAGTTGTTAAAACCCGCCGCAAAACGCATCAAGCAGGGGTTCTGGTCGCTACTGCGTTCGTGCAGGGCCTTCCCACCTTTTACGGGAAAACCAAAAGGAAAAACACCGCATGGGTTCATAGACACACATTCTCAAGCCTGGAACACTGCACTCAGGAATGGCGATAAGCTGAGGCATGCACACGCCCAACTTGCGGCATCGGCAGGGCTGAGATAGAGCGACCTCACAGGAATTCGGACGCGTGACACAAAAACGCTCGCCACTTCCTTTCTGAGATCTGTGCTTGGAAGTCGGAGGAAATTGTGGATCGACCTGGCAGCTCAATGTAAGTTGCTGCGCGGGGGGAGGAAAACAAAACAAAAAAACATTCCGCAACCACTACAGCACACTATATTTGTTTCTATTGTATCATTTGTGGTGTTTGTTTAGTAGACAAGCCACAGGTATTTACGCGGCCGCGGGTCTTATGAACTTGCAGCACAATGATTCCGCCTTTGCCATGAAGCACCAAAAGCAGACACACCTTACTTTAGGATGTGGCGTCGCGGAACCACAGAGCTATCGCGCGTTTCGGCTTCCAGTAAAGCATGCCAAACAAGCCAGACTGTCTACAACAACAGCAGACCTTCCAACATCTCACTGGAGCACAGCTACGCCAGGTTCTGCTCACCAAAACGCCCTGACATTGCAAACTTACAGCTGGTATGATTTGTTCGAGTTTTGCGGGGACCACCTCTTACTTACCCAATGACTAAAGCCAAATCGCAAAACAGCCGCCTGTGTTTCCAATTCACACGTGAGCATCTTCAACCCACCAGAGGTTACAAAACAAACATCCCGTGATTCCTTCTGCACTGTGCTCCCTCAAAGAATCATGCGAGGTGAAAGGGCGCCGTTCCAGCTGCAAATCAGGCTACATTCATTGCTTCAGGAACTCGAGCGCATGGCGGCCAAAATTGCAGCTTCATGGCACGGATATGCGAGTGCAAGCAATTAGATCAAGTGCGAGCACGATTTCACTAGATATCAAGTCTCGCTGGGGCAAGTCTCCAAATTGCATTCCTCATGGAGCTTGTTTTCCTTCAGGGTTCGTTGCTTGGACTTCTTGGGGGTTCCGCGCCTGGTCCCGTAGCTGGCGCATCAAACATCAAACCGGGTCGTGCTCCCGATCTGTGCATGACCCCTACACGCAGAAAGTCCGAAAAGTGGGTGTCCGGGTTGTCAGAATTGGGAAGCACGAAAATGGTTGGCTTTCAAGTGAATTGATTGTTTGAACCGCCCCCCAGAAAATGGGCACACTCAAAAAAACAACCCATGTCTCTCCTAAACAGTGAGTAACAAGCAGACATGGAACCCCAATGGTGGATGTCCCACCCATGTCTTGGGCAAGCTGCAAGCGTGTGCCAACATCTGTATCTACTGGTTGGGTATGCTAACTAATTGCTACTCACTGTACCATAGTTGCCCCATATCCAAAAGTAAAGCCTGTTCACGGACCGATCTAACACTGCTTTACTCAAGACATGCCAGCCTGTCATATTTCTCGCCAGACTCTCGGCAGAACTCATTTATCTTTTCCACCGCGTCCTGTTCAATCTGGACGTCCTGAGCAGCAGGCAGCGTGAAGAATCTTTCAGGCATTCCGAAGGAAGCCCTGCCATTATCCGCGTGCTCGGGTACCTAGACCCGGGTGCCTGAAGCTTGCAAAGCAGTTTGCGCAAAGCAAGTTCCTCATAGAAGCCATCTCTCTCTCTCTGTCTCTCTGTCTCTCTATATCTGACCGTCGTTCTGTCTTCTCTCGCTCTCTCCCCCTCTCCCTCTCAACTCCCTCTCTCTCCCTCGCTCTCCCTCTCTCTCCCCCTCTCCCTCTCTCTCTCCAGCTCTAGCTCTCTCTCTCTCTCTCTAGCTGTCTTTCTCTCTTTCTCTCCGGCTCTCTCTCTCTCTCTCTCTCTCTCTTCTCTTTCCTCTATCTCTCTCTGTATCTCTCTTTCTCTCTCTCTCTCTCTCTTTCTCTCTCGGTTTCTTTGTCTCTATCTCTCCGTGTGCCTCTCTCTCTATATATATAGTTGTCTCTCAGATCCTCTGTCTCTTTGTATCCCCGTCTCTCTCTCTCTCTCTCTCTCGCACGCACTCTCTTTCTTTCTCTCTCGCTCTCTGTTTCTGTCTCTTTGTCTCTCCCTCTCTCTGTCTCTCTTTCTCTCCCTGTCTCTTTCTCTCTCTCTCTCTCTCTCGCTGTCTCTCTCTGTCTTCTTTGTCTCCCCGTCGCTGTCTCTGTCTCTCCCTCCCCGTCGCTCTGTCTGCTATCTCTGTCTCTCTTTTTCTCGTTCTCTCCTTCTTTCCTTTCCTTCCCCTTTCGGTCTCCCTCTCCCTCTCGCTCCCTCCATCTCCCCCTCTCCCGCGTTCCCCTGCTCGTGCGGACCACGGATTAAAGCAGAAATCATGCAGCTTACGCACAGGCCATGCGTAGAAATCATATGCACACACACACAAAATTGCTACATATGTACACAAAGAGAGAGAGAGAGAGAGATGTATGTGCGTATATATACTATATATATAATATATATATATATATTGGAACGTTGCGCAACATGTCCCAATGTTGCTCAACATGTCCCAATGTTGCACAACATGTCCACATGTTGTCCAGCATGTGGCAAACCACACAACCACCACCCCCCCCCTTCCCAACAAACAACGAGAAACAAAAAACACCCCCCCATTGCCGGAAAGCTTTGTGTTTGCTGTTGCTTTTACCTTTTCTTTCTTGGACATGTTGCGCAACATGTCCCAAATGTGTTAATGTGTTTGAGAACCAAGCTGAGCGCCTTGAACCTGCTGCGCAACATTTGCGATTTTGTTTCAACCACTTTCATTTTTTGGGTGGCTTGAAATCAATGATTTCCCGAACAGCTGAAAACTATGGGGTCTCTACCCAGATAGGCTCTGGGGTGGTTTGGGGCAGCTTTCAGGGAGTGTTCCGGAGATTCGATTCCAGGCAATCTCGGATCTTGGACTCAGCCTTTGTTTTTGTTACAGGTTCCAGAAACTTTGTGCTTTTTTCACATGCACTTCATGTTCGATCTATATAGTAGGTGCCCAGCTTGAACCTCATTTGCAAGGTGGACAATTGATATGCCCTGCGGCAGCTTGACCTTCCCTTTGCGGGGAGGAACGATGATCTGACACATGCTGAACATGCAGCATGGTACTGCACGTTTGCCAAGGAGCAGAATCAATATCAACTGAATCTTATTCAAAAATCCATGGACTTAGATCAGGGCAACTGGCCGTTTGAACTTAAAGCTGATCTTAATTTCAACTTACAATGTCAATCGTCGCTCTTTGAATGCACACATGCAGTTGCGTGAAGCTGATTTTGGCTTGAGCTTGAAGCAGCATCTGAAAATTGGGTCTTCTCATAGTTGATGTTCAACAACTGTCATTGGCTGTATTCTAGAAACACATACCAAACAAACGACACATAAATTCGATGTGTTGCTTTCCAACTGTTGTTCTAGCAGAGTTGAGTTACAAACCAAATGGAAGTGCGCAAGGACATGAAGCAGCTTTATAATTCGTTGGATGCCAATAGCAATTTAAATAGGAATGACATCATTTCCCCAAAATCGAAGGTTTGCAGTTTTCCCCTCCAAAATGATAAGCACGAAAATGCGATCACCAAGCTGTTCCAGGCACGTTGAAGCTGACAAAGTGCACTTTGCGTACTACTCTTATACTGAACAGTTGTGCTGTATGAGCTGGAGCCGCGTGCAAAATATTCAAGATGTTGGAGAAAGATGCCTGGGAATTTAAATCCCGTTTAGCTCAAAGTGACTTTAAAGTCACGCTTTTCAAGCTTCGATAACACCGAACAAACATGGAACTTTAGTAGTTTCTTGTTTCTTCGTTTGTTGTTGTTTCTTCTTCTTTTTGAAACTGCCGGGGGGGAGCATACATATATATATATATATAATATGCACTGCAAGTCCACATAATGTGTATTTATATAAGGTGTATATATATATATACATATCAAATATGGTACGGGGCTTTCTCTTTGTGCTCCTCACTTCCTAGAGATCGGATTGCCATTGCCCCTCGCCTCCGCACGGAAGCGCTCAAAAGCCACGTCGGCGCGCTCGGCCTCCTCCTAGTTCCGGGGCTCAGGCCCTTGCGTGCACCTTCTTTTCAGATTGTTCAAACAATATCCACTATTAGAAGCAAACAAACTAGAAATTAGCTTGCCCCTTCTCAGGGGCTTCCATTTGAGGCTTGCATTTCCGGCCTCTGGTTTGGCCAGTTCAACCGCTGCGACCAGGTGAAAAGGGCACTCTTTGTATAGGGTGCTGTTGACACTTGAGGCTTGGTCAACACCTCCGGCAGTGTATTGTCATCTTGGAAGGGATATGAGGGTCAGTTCCCAAGAACGGGGGACTCTCTAGTTTTCCGACGTCCTAAGCAGGAGCCAACATGGTTGAAACTAGGCAGGTTTCTAGTAACGTTTGTCTCTACCGTGCAGCAAGACGTTTTTTTTTAAACCTCCCTTTAGCCATGGTCAAAACTGGGGGCCGAAGGGAATATTGATCAACCCCCATGTGTCCATGTGTTTAATGGTATTTTTTGCAGGCGAAGATCTTTATTGCATTCGGTCCACCCTGGGTGTGGCTCCAAATTCAAGACCTTGGGTTACGCAGGTTTTAGTCTACTTGTCTATTTACCAGGGCAACCCATTTTGGGGTTACCCTATTTTTGAGCCATAGCCGCCCTAAAAACCGACCCCAGAAGCCTTGATCCAAGTCGACCCCAGGCCGCGAAACTGAGAGCGCGGCCTTGGACTCCCGCTCCAGGCGCTCGGCCAAGGCCTCGGCCGGGTGGTGGTTTCCCGGGTGGGCAACTTGGCGATAGAAAAGAACATACAAAATTGCATAATGTATATATATATATATATAATTTATATAATTATATTTATAATATGTATATATATATATATGTTATGTATGTATACATTGTACATGTGCCTCCTCTAGTAAAATAGATCAACACATATGCATATACATATATATATATATATACATATACACATACTTATCTGTATAGATGAATGTTCCAGGTGTGCAGGTGTCTCGCTGTTTGCGGAGAAACACAAACTTTAGTCCTTTGGTTGACAAAGGCTTGTTCACTGCAAAGGTGTCGTTTCAATTGGGCGGGAAGGGGCATGCACCAAAGAAAGGGGGACCCAAAAGGGAAACAAACCACAAGTCTTTCTGATTACATGATAGTGGTGATACGAATTGTCAGATTTTCCCAATAAAATGGTCAATGCCTGTACAGTAATCTCAGACCCCTAACAAAACCTGCCGGAGAGCGCACAAAATGGCTGCTTTTCTTTTAGTTTCCATTAGCCAGTGGAAAGACGACACGCGTACTCGTGCGGATTCCCTCTGCAGGTGATCCTGTTCTGTGCTGGCGCCAGTGTGCGCCGCGGCATGCTGGGCATGGTGCGCGGTCGGCATCAGCTCCTGCACCCGGCCTCAGCTCGGGGAGGGACACAAAGCTCCAAATCCCCCGAAAGTGGAAGGGTGCAACAGCAATAGGTTCTTGCCTAAATTCAAAAACAATAAAAAACCAAAGTTATTATAAAACCCAATGACGCAATTCAAGTTGCTAACCCAAATCTGTGCTTTTTGGAACCCCAACCCTTTTTTGGTAGACCACCCTGCTTGTTTTTGTTGACCCGCGGTTGGAAGCAGGGTGATCCATTGGCCACTTTTTTTGGATAATTACCTCCAACAGAAAACTTACACATGGGGTGCGCCGTAAGGGGCATCTGTTTGTTGGTTTAAAGGGCAACCAAAAGACAACCAAACCAATTTAGGGTCCCCTACTTTGAGACACACCCAAAACATACTTGCACACGTTGTAGGGGCCCAATCTAGCTTTCCAATCAATGCCCACCCCAATTCCACCGTTCGACGGTTTTTTGTGGGTTTGTGTGGCTTTTGGTGGCTTGTCGACCCTAAATCCACCTGAAACCACAACTAAACTAACCTTAAACCAAACCTAAAATCATGCTATACCCGCCCTATATAAACCCTAAAGAAACCTCAAAAGCCACCCCAACCCAACCCAAAACCCACCGAAACCCACCCTAAACCAAACCCTACACCAATCCTAAATTTACACGAAGCACGAAACCTTTCCCTAATCCAGCAGAACCAACCCTTCACAAACCCTAACTCAGAAAACCCTAGGGCAACCCTAAACAAACTCTAAGCAAACTCTATGCCTATACCAACCCTACACCAACTCCACACCAACCCTAACCCAATTAAGCACTACGCCATCCCCCAAGCGAACACAACCCGAAGCAACCCTAAAACAGCCCCAAGCTCACCCTAAACAAAACCTAAGCAAACCCTCCCTTCCCAAGCCGAACCCACTCCCTAAACCTACCCTAAACCAAACCTAACCCCACACTAAACCCTCCTAAACTCTCAGCCTAAGCCCTAGACACCCTAAACCAACCCTGCACCCTCTAAACCCTACTCCAACCACAACTAAACTAACTCTAAACCAACCGAACCTCACAGTAAATTCGCCCTAAAGAGGAAACCCGAACAAACCTTAAACTCACCACCAGCCCTAAACCGACCCTACAATAGTCAGTTTCCCCAAACCCACCCTAAATCGGCTACGCATAGCATAAACCACTAAAGAACTTAACACAACCCTAAACCAACTCTGCACCCACCCGAAGCCAGCCAAAAGCGACCCTAAACGAAGCCTGGGCCTAAGCAAACAATTTAATGTATTTGCATGTCGGATAGCAAATAGCAAAGAAAAGGCGAAGGAAACTCAGGAAAGCTCTTTTCGTGGGAAAAAATGGTTGCCCATCCGAGGGTGAAAAAGACACGTAATCCCAAGCCCTGGCCATACTAAGCTAATACTAATCACTACTCTAAACCAATACTGGGCCGATCGCGAGCCAGCAAAACCAACTGAGGGCTCAAACAGCCAAATTCTTTAGGATACCCTCTGCTAAAACAGTCGCTCAAACATATATCATATTCTCAAGGGGTGGTACACGTACGCCCGGCACAGTGCATAATCATAAATCTTTACAAGGGAGGAAATAGTTTTTGTTTAGAACAAAGAACAAAAACACATCAGGGCTAGTACCGAGGAATACTAAACCAATACTAAGCCAAATCTGAACAGTACTGGGCCTACTAACACAAGTCTAAGCCAGTACCAAGCAGTGCTTACTGAGACGACTTGAGGCCCAACTCTGACCCCCCGAATGTTTGTGTGAGGTTCCTCCGGATTTGTTTGAGGGGGGAGGGGCCTTTACTATCGACCCAACACTGATCATCCCTAAACCGAACCTGAACCCACCCCAAACACGCTCTAAAGAAACCCGAAGTAAACCTTAAACCAACCCTAAGCCAACCCTAAACCCAACCGACCCCAACCCTACACCAACTCTCAACCAATGCTACACCAACGGAAGACGTACCCTAAACCAACCAAAACCAAACCTAAACCTACCCTAGACCAAATCCTAAACCGACCCAAAACCTCCCCTATGCAAACCAGCCAACCTAAACCAACTGTAAACCCACCCTAAAGAAACCCCAAATCCGCATCAGTTTGCCTTCGACGTCTTGCCTTGTCATTCGGACCCAAATGCCGCCAACACAGGGGGTGTCCCGACAAAGTCAACGTCCTATTCGAAGGGCTCTCAAAAGGCCCAAAAGGAGACCTCTGATACTCGGTTGGGCCCCGCATTTTGAGAGACACCAGGGACTTCGCAAAACATGAATAGGGAATTTCACCGGCGTATTTGAGTTTTCTTCAAAGTATTAGAGACGCCCCAGAGACTCAATGCTCCGCATGTTCCGAGCGTCCGGGCGAATCCGAGCGGGGCCGCTTCGCGTCTGGAGGATCTAGCGATAAACGCAAGGCCTAGCAGAGGGAAGTTCGAGCCCAGGAAACTCAGGAATCTGGCCAATTCCCAAGTGAAGGACTTTCAACTTAGGCCCGTCGCTCGTTTTACTCCCAAACAGGTGGACTTGATCTTCTCATAGAATTCTTCTGATAGATGCGCGGGCAGAGAGTGGGCCGTTTAGAATCTGCTTGACAAGGGAAACCGTCAGTCCTGGAGCGCGCAGTAGTGGCCCCTTTCAGGTGTTCGGGCCTGAAACTTTATTCGAAGAGAATCCAAAAGGAAAAAACATGCATGAACAACTTTGTTGAATTCCGCGATTCGCTTGAATTCAGATACCTGGGTCTAAAATCACCCAGCCAAGACCCATAACAAACACGCAACACAAACCAAGCGTCCCAGCCAAAGCCTGAAGCGACGGTCGCGCTCGTTGCAGGTGACGTTGGTGATTTGTGTGGGGTGCCGGTGATGCAGGCTGTTGATGTAGGGGATGCTACTGATACGGGCATGTCTGTGCACGTGGGACTTTCGAGGTCTATGTTGGGTGTCGGATTGCTTCCAAATCCCCCCAAAAGCTTTTCGCCTCGTGCGGCTGGAAAGTTGCTCGAAGCAGACCTCCCAAAACACGAAACCGGGGTGCTGTCAAGCGTGATTTGTGCGCACAAAAAACACCTGTCAGTAACCCCAACCTCTATTGACCTAAATAAAGGTCACCGTCCGTCATGTTTCAATAATTCCAGAAACCTGAAATAAGGGACCCCCAAGAAAAGGACCTGCATCATAGTGAGCTCGCTTTAAACCCAAGTGAGCTCGCCATGAAACAGGCAGAACCATCGCATCACCCCACCATGTAAAATCAAGGGGACCCAAACAATGCGAGCCCTTGAGTCATATTTTCAATATGAGGTCGTGGCCCCCATCACAACTGACAACATTCTGAGTCGTACACACAAAAAAATGCTTCTTTCAGAAGCCCTCCACCCGCCTCTGCCAGCTCTGGATCTTCGGCTTCCACATCTGCACCTGGACCGCAAAATAGGGACATAAATCAAAACGACGACGCGACTACCACTAAAGGAAAATCACCCGTTTTGGAGGGTCACTCGGAGACAAGATCATGTTGGTTAAATGTGGCCGTCTATTACTCTCCACTGGGAGTTGGAGCGGGGGGGGGCTCCCGTATTTCACAGGTCCTTTTGGGAACGCAAGTACCTTTGTCCGTTGGCTGTGAATCATTTAATTTTGCCTTTGGTGAACCTCATTCGCAATGTGTTGGCCATCGCCTGCCTTCAGCCACCTGTCCGTCTGCTGACAGCGTGAGGCAATCCAAGAGCTCCTTGGCCTGGCAGTTGGTGCCCTTTCGGGTGTTTAAAGGGAAGCCCAAAGAAGAACTACACCCCCAATTTAGGGGATCCCCCTGTTTGAACATTCCCAAACCATGTAAAGATTCAAGATGAAGGGTGAATTCCGTGCATATGCATGGTTGGGACTATCCCCTTAACCTTCATTCAGCCGGCTTTGACTGTGGGGACCCGGTCGTTTCCTCCAGCTCTTTGGGAAGCTGGGGTGAAAGAACCCTTGGTTTGCTTTCCTGGGTGTGTATGCGTGCTGGAGGCTACCCTTGGGGTGGTTGAAAGATGCCAAAAGGAAACCATCCATGGGGGGTCCGACGGTCCCCCGATTTTCGACACATTCCATTGGCAACATTGCTTCCTTTGCTCAGTCTTTCTTGCAAGCTGGTTCCGAGTTCCAGCTGAGCCGCAAGGCACGGGACTTCTTCTCTAAGGGACCTTGCTGAATGCTACGCAGCTGTATTTTAACGGACACGTGCACCGTCACTGATTCACTTTCATATGTATATACTTTGTTCACAATCACTTCTCACAAGCAAGCAAACAAGCAAGCAAACAAGCAAACACAAACACACAAACACACAAACAAAGAGACAAGCAAAGAAACAAACACACAAAGAAACAAAGAGACAAACAAACAACCAAACAAACAAGCAAACAAACACACAACCAACCGACCGACCGACCGACTAACCGACCGACCGACCGACCCACCAACCAACCAAGCAACCAAGCAACCAAGCAAGCAACCAAGCAACCATGCAACCAAGCAACCAAGCAACCAACCAAGCAACCAAGCAACCAACCAACCAACCAACCAACCAACCAACCAACCACAACCAACCAACCAACCAACCAACCAAACAAAACCAACCAGCCAACCAACCAACCAACCAAAACCAACCACAACCAAACCAACCACAACCAAACCAACCACAACCAACCACAACCAAACCAAACCAAACCAACCAACCACAACCAAACCAAACCAAACCAAACCAAACCAACCAACCAACCAACCAACCAACCAGCCAACTAGCCAAACAAATGCACAAACAAACAAACACTCAAACAAACACACACACACACAAACGCACAAACGCACAAACAACATACACACACAAACAAAATGCAAAACAGGCAAACAAACAATCAAACAAATAAACAAGCAAACAAACAAACAAACAACCAACCAAACAAACAAAACAAACAAACAAACAAACAAACAAACAAACAAATCAACAAACAAACAAACAAACAAACAAACACTCAAACAAACACACACACACACAAACGCACAAACGCACAAACGCACAAACAACATACACACACACACACAAACATAATGCAAAACAAACAAACAAACAAACAAACAAACAAACAAACAAACAAACAAACAAACAAACACACAAACAAACAAACACACAAACAAACAAAAAAAAAACAAACAAACAAACAAACAAACAAACAAACAAACAAACAAACAAACAAACAAACACACAAACAAACAAACAAATAAACAAACAAATAAACAAAGAAACAACGCCACAACAACACACAAACAAACAACACAAAGACACAAACACGCAGACAGGCAAACACAGACACAAAGAAACAAACAACCAACCAAACAAACAACCACGCACAAACACACACACACAAACACACACACACACAAACACACGCACGTGCAGACAAATACTCACAAATACACACAAACACAAACACAAAAACACAAAAACAAACACACACACACACACACACACCACACACCACACACACACACAGACACACACTCACACACAAACACAAACACACGTACATGCCAGCACCCACGCAGGCAAGCAGGCACGCACGCAAAACGGCGCGCACGCGCATGCACAGGCACAGGCATACGCATACATGCAAATAGACATAACGTAGACACAGACATAAACACAGGCATGAGAAGGCACACCCTGACATATTAGGCCCTGATTTGAGAAATACAATAGAAAACTGGCCGTTGAAGTGAGTGAGGAAACTTTTTATTCGGGACCATTCCACCTAAGCCGTTGTCCTTTTGAAGAACTTGGTGCAAGGTTTCTAGAGAGGCAACAAACCCAACTCACGCCGTCTGAACCTCTGCGGTTCGCGGATAATCATGGCTCCCCAAGGGCTGACAATGATTCTCACAAATCCTGATTCGGGCCTCGCTTTGCCATCCAATGTTCAATGTCCTTTAAACACAAGGTTTATCTTGAGTCACACGTATGTGTATATATATATATGGGTTCAGCCGCGTGCTGAAAATGGAGAGCCCCCGCTTGTGCTGGATTGAAATGTTCGCAGGCAAACCAACCTTGCGGGGGTCCCCAATTCTGGGAACACCCAGTGAGGCAGTCAAAACATGGCATTGGGTCAACCCAGAATCTGTCGTAGTAAGAAGTCACAAGGGCTTCTTGCCGCTCCAACTTCCGGTTAGGACTGCCCACGCTTCAACTACCCAGCTTTGACCTGAAACAGGGTAGCCTCAAAACATACACACCCAATTGAGCAGCGCCTGAACCCCATGGACTTTAGGTTTTCCGAAAACCTTGTTGCACTTATATAAATTCACTATCCCGTATCTGAAGGTAGGAACCTGCAGGAACTCCTCTGCTGGATCTCCGGGAGGCAATACCAACGCCTGCCGGCTGCGCGTTGCTGCGCAGTCGGGAAGGGTTTCTTCAAAAAAACAACAACCAGGTTTGAACCCAGTACCTCATGAGGATGGCTTTTGGGGGGGTAAAAAGGGGTCTAAGTACCTCCTTAGAAGGTACTTGGACCCTCTGGGGAATGTTTGGAGGAAACTCCTCGGAATCTGGTCCAGATTCCTCCAAAGACCTTGCCTGATGGATCCTTCCTTGGGCATGGGGCCCAAGGCTGCGAGCAAAAAAACAACAGGGTTAAGTCAACCTGGGGTTTGCTCACAACGGAACTCTGGTCGAAGAGCTTCTGAACTTCTCTCTCCCGCATCCAGGAGTGCAGAAGGGGCCAGGAGGTCAGGGGGGGACGTCCTCCCGTTTGGATGTGCACACTGCTGTGCCTTCAAATGCCACCATGCCACATCGAGAAAGACCTGCTGAGACACCCAAAAAGGGTCAGCACTCACGCCAACATAGGGGGACTGCGAAAAATAGGGAGATGGTCCTTTTGGTTTCCCCTTTCACCAGCCTGAAAAGCATACCGAGCCTTCAAAACAAGCAAGCAAGCAAGCAAGCAAGCAAGCAAGCAAGCAAGCAAGCAAGCACACATACACAGACACACAGACACAGACACACACACACACACAAGGAGGGGGGTGCTCAAAATGGTCCACATCTTTTATCGTTTTTTGGGGGTGGTTAAGGCAAACCCTAAAAGGACACAACCCATTTTCGGTTCCCCACACCCATGGGGTCCTGGTGTGCCAGTTGGCGCGCGCCAGACCCGACGTGCCTCGCCCACGTCTACAAAGCCAATGGCCTGCCCATAGCGGAGATCTGGTCTTTGACTTCCTCGCCCCCGCCCCAAATTGCTCGTCAGCGAAGAAGGTGGGAATGAACCGGAAGGGGATTCCCTTGTAAAGGAAGCCACCATTTTTTTCTTTTCGGGTCATTCCCTTTCTCATTCCCTGCCCATCGCACCAGCAAAACTGTGGCGGGTAGCCTGCAGGATCTGCAAGCCGATCGGCAGCAGCTTCCCATCCAGCTTGCTCTTCGTTAGTGTCCTTGTGGGTGTGTCCCCTTTTTTTGAGGCAATTGGAAACCCTTGTTGGCGTGTTTGTTCTTTTTTAGATTAGGGAGAAACCACCCAGTGTTGAGGGTTTTGCAAGATAAGTCCTCGGATCCAGTCAAGGAACACCCACGGCTGTTGAACGGGGATCAAACTAGTGGCGTCATGGTAACGACTCGAATGAGATGCGCAGCGTTGACAGAAGGAGCAATGCGCTGGACACGCACAGCACACCCCTGGAAAATGGAGTTTTGGCCAGTCTCATTGCACTACGAAGGCGACACCAGTCGCACCCAAAGGTGAGAATTAATGATCTGTGAAGAGCACAGCCGGCAGTAAGTTCATGTTCCATAAAAGCTCGAGAAGGTCCCGCTTTGAATTTGCTGAACCACAGGCGCCAGTGGTCTGGGTGGACACATAGCGCACCGCCGCACCGCTCCTGTACTTGCCTTCGGCAGGGTTTGACAACACCTGCCAGGCCACTCAGGCGCAAACCAAAGCAAACTTTTGACCCGCCATTGGCCCAAAGTTGCCATGCACCAGAGGCAGTTCATCAAGAACGCTTTTGGGCCATTGACCTCAGTAATTATCTTCTCAGATTCGGCTGGTTCTCCGAAAGCTTCTTGCTGGCTTTTCCTGATAGATCGCGCACTGTGCTGGACAGGCCAAGATAATGTGCCATGGTCAAACTCCGTGGCGCCGCCACTGTTCTTTGGATGGGAACCCGCAAGAATGGCAACGAAGCAAGCAGGTCGTTGAAGCTTCCTATATGATATGGTCGTGGTTTCCTTGGGAAGCTGTCCGAGGGTTCTCCGATTTCCGATTTTCCCCTTTTTGGAGGCACCATCTTTGGGCATCAGTGGATCGTTCACTCATGCGCGCAAGGCCATGCCGGCACCACATTGCTCACAATCCGATGCCTCGGATTCGCGAGAAAAAACAAAAAAGGACTCCTACAAACGACCCCTTCTCCATGACCCTTATAAATCAGGGTCAAAAATCCAACATGGAGTCAAGACTCTCTTTCAAGGGTCATGGAGACTCCAGGTATTAACAAGGGATCTTTCTCAGAATGAGACATAAGCTGTCGAAAAGGTCCGAGGCTGCCACAGGATGTTAAAATTCTTCAATGCCTCGTCATGTGCGCGGAACATGTGGATTAGCAGTCTGTGCTCAAAAATGGGGGACTCCTTTTGGTGGGCTTTTCAAGGGAAACCAAGTAACTATGATCAGGGGGTCTGTCGTTTTGGAACCAATTTATGTCAGGGACAAGCATCACACGGCAACTCGGGGTTTGGGAACACACCCAGTCGTGGTAAATCCTGTCCCCTCTGCATCCTCTGCCTCACCGAACATCATGATGAACTTTGCCATGGCACACAAAACACATTTGCCCTCGCGCCCCCCCCCCCCCTCCCCCCCCAAAAAAAAAGGCACCTGCGTGGACGATACATGAAAGACAACTTTCTTCCTAGAGGGACACCCTGCGAGGTGCCATGTGAGTGGGTCAAGGCTGTATGGCTACATGGGGCTACTGCGGTGCAATGGTTGACTTACCCTATGACCGGCTTGATGACCATCTGCCCAATCCTTCCTCCCAACAAACAAGTCGTTTGACCCTGGAACCCATGAGCAACGAGCATCATAAGCATAAGCCTCACCTCCAACAGAAATCCTATCTTGATGGTCATCATGGCTCCAGAAGAACCCAACGATCGTCTAATCTAGGCTCGGTTCCATCTCCATCGGCCATGGCCCCAGCGGCCCGCCTCCTCTGAAGACAACGTGGCGCTGGCCTCTTCAATGAGCGCCTCAGGCCCAGCTTGCAGCTCCCAAGCGCCAACTTGGTGCGGGAGGTAGCCTTCAGGGCTCCGAGCATGCATCAACCCATTCCATTTGCTTAGGCCCCCTGGCAAAAATAACCAACAATCCAGGAAAATAAAACATACTCTTAAGCAAATGGAAGACAAACACCAGCTTTGTAAGGGGGTCCTCCAAACTGGGGCGAGCTGGTGTCCTTCCCTTTGCCTCCCAAACGGCATCTAGACGGTCCACTTAGGCATCATTTCTGCTGAGGCGACATGTTGCAGCGGGAAGGAGAGTTGATGGTTCGGCAAGCCTTTGTGAGTCCTTCCTTTTGGAGTACACACACACACATAGCTGATAACGTCTAGCATTCCAGTATCTCAGAGCCTGACTGCCATGGCGGTTTCACCGCGGAAGATGCGCGCTGCGAATTGGATAAGTGGTGTTTCGGGTTTCCTGTGATCTTGCGGCTTCGTTTTGTTTTTCGTGGCCCCTTTAAAACGGGACAGCGAATCCCACAAGCTCCATGTTGTCTGCATCTAGGTTGATCTGTCCGGCCCAGCCAAGAGCCCAAGGGCAGCTGAGTTCGACTCTTCAGAACCCGAAGCTCAGATTCGTCTTCTGAGGCGTGGCAAGTCTTTCTGGGGTGCCCATTGGCAAACACTTACATGGGAAAGGTCCGACCAACTTGCTCCAAATACATCGCCGTGTCATTTGCCAGAGGTTGCACAACTGTTGGCGGGCGCCAGCACTGCCTTGCCATCCTTCTTGGGATCCTTGTACTTGCTGACTTCTCTCTGGATAGCATCCTGAGTGCACTCAATGAAAGCGTCGGCCACAATACTCGATACACTGCCCAGGGGAAAAGCACAAACAAACAAACATGAAACAACACCATGTTAACGCGCAAGTCGCGTTGAATACGAACAAATCAAGGCGTTCGTCTCGCCTTCTCCCTCTCGCCCTTCTTCTTGCTGACCTCATGGCAGGTGTGGACCCCGTCTCTTTGGCAACTCATTCTAGCTGCATAGCGCGGGAGAAAACGAACAAGGGGTCTGCAGTTTAGCCGCTCGGAAAAAAAAAGGCGATTCTTGAGCGGCGCCTAGGCAAATGAGCCAAGCATGAGCCAAGCATAAAGAATCTGGGGTGCGAACTAGGGCAGGCTTGATGTCCTTTGGACGCTTCACTCCGTCTTCATCATCATCCTCGTTTTCCTGTCGCAAAGCATCCTCAAGAGCACTTTGTCCATTCTCGCATGATGCAAGCTGCCCGTGCAACCCTCGAACATGGGCTTTGTTGCCCTCAAACATGGGCTTGTGGAAGTTCAAACAAGCAAAGGCCGCGCCGCTTTCTACCGCGCCCTGCACCTCAACAAAGGTCGAAGTAATTGCGGAAAAACGACATCTAGCCGCAGCTGGCACAGTTCACGTGCCCCAGTGCTCACGGCGCATCGCATCAAAACGGGGGGCATACCAAAAGCCGCTCCGCTGCAGTGCTGCTCAGCTCTTCCTGAGAAAGCTGCCGATAATTCGATTGGCGTGGTGTTTTTAAAGTGCTTGAAACGCGGCTCTAGATTAGTTCGGCCCAACTGCTGCCTGCGAAACGTTGTGTTTGACGTGCCTCTTAAGGCTGTCATTGAAGTGGAAGCAAGGCTGCTAATATTAAAAAAGAGAGAAGAAAAACAACTAAGCGCGGGCTCCAGGTTTAACAATTCAAAGGTGGAACATAGTCTCGACACCAGTCTGCGGCAAAGCTTGGCCCCCCAGAGTTCCCAACTCAAAAACCTTCAGGCGCAAGGCCAAAAAAACCACGCTCAAGACTGATTGAAGAAAATCTGGATTGGGGAATTAAAGTTGCCGGGAAAGTCTTGGCTATTCGTTCTTGGGCCCGCTTCAAAGCTTCTGATTCAATTATGATTTCACAGCCCCTGGATTTCTTCCCTGAATGCCTTGAAAGAGCAACACTGAGTGCCCCACGCCCAAGAAACTTGGACAACTGCACACATCTTTGTTTTGCAGCATGTGCAGCTTGCGCATCATGTGTTTGGGGTCCAATGTCCAGCCTTTGCGTTGAAACATTTATCACTACAGTCTATATATATATATACACATAAAGTATAACATTATATATATATATATACATATGTAGATATTATTATACGCGGCACACAAAGTTGTATTATCATGTTTACGCACATTTGCATGAGGGACTGGTTGGTTCTTGGTTCCTGTGGTTCTCCTTCTTTGCATGCACCAATCAAGAGCCTCCCAGTTTTGACATCAGAGCCACAATAAACATATTATTGTGGTTTTTCGTAATGGACGTCCCAAAATTGACAATAGACTGGACCTTGTGACTGGTCTTCGCAACGCTTCAAATTATGAGGGACTGTCGGTTCCTGGCTTCTTATGCGGTCTTCCTTTACCAGGAACCAGGCTTGCCCCCAGATTTCACATTGTCAACGCGGCTATGAACTTTGATGGGGAACCTTCACACAAAGGGTTGGGCGAATTCCATGTACATACCCAGAGGCTCTCCGATTAAAAACATGGCCGTGTCAGGACCGAGCTGCCGCGGAGTCGGCTCCAAAGTCCGTAAAATCCTCCGAGGCCGAGTGCAGTCGCAGGTACTTCAGAAGGTCCCCGGGTTTCTTCCAGCTGGAGACGAAAAGCTCGATGCACACAGCCTTCGACCGAATCGAACACTTTGGGACAGGGGAAAACTGGACTCAACGAGTGGGATGGGTTGCAACAAAACTTCAAAACCACAAGTACTGAAAGAACAGCGTGTTGAATTGTTCAGCCCCTGTTTGGTGGTTCACTGGCATTATATCGCATTTTACATGTCTCAAAGGGGAACCCCCCCAAAAAGGGTGGCGTCCTTTTGGTTTCGCTTTAACACCGTCCAAAAAGAATACCCTCAAAAAATCACACCCAGACCCAGCTGTGCCATGGTCAACGTTTACATTTAGATTCCAGAATGCCCTGAATTTTGTAGGACGTCTAGAGAGTCCCCACGTCCCGGTCCTAAATGAATCATTGCTGACCGAACCTCTAACATGGATACTTGTTTGAGGGTACCCGTTTGGGCAGGGAGGCAGGGACGGAAGGGCTTGGAGGGAGGCAGGGAAAGAGAGGGAAGGAGGGCAGGAGGGAGGCAGGGAGAGAGGGTTTCCAAAAGTGACTCAAACTGGGAAAGGACACCTTGTTGGATGCCATTCAAAGGAAAACCAAAAGGAAACCATTGCCATTTTGGGGGGCCTGCTCTTTGTCGAAACACTCGGGAACATGTCCCAGTAAGGCCTTGGACTCCCTAATGCACAGCTTCCTCCATAGGAGAATTGAGTCCCTGGCCCTAAAATTGTCCAGCACAATCAGGTAAAGATTTGTTCAAGAACTTCTTGCCGCACCTATTTTTGGCACGACTATCCTCTAACCTTCCACCCGGACAAGTTGACGCATGTGCCGATGCGCCTCTTTGACCGTGTAGGCAAAGTACTGCCCCCGGCCACCAGCACGCCACACGTCGTTGAGGGCAGCAGATGCGGCACTTCTGGCCAACGAGGGATCATCACTGCCGATGCTCACAAAATGCACCTGGAAGCGCCAGCACGGGAAGCTCCCTCTATGTCCAATCCAAAAACCTCATCCACACAGCGGCAACCATTTCAGCCATGTTCTAATCGTGCCATTGCCATTGCTTGCTACGTGTCATTTTGCCTATGCCCCCTGATTGCGCAAACCGTACGCGAGCTCAGAAGCTGCAGGTTCCTTTTGACGCGCCTTTCTGCAAAGAGATTTCAAAAATAGCAGTGACCTTAAATGTGCACTTCAAAAATAAGATTATGTAAAATAACTCTCGTTTATATTAGCATGCAGGCTTTCACGGGACTTTCGCAGCGGGACCTTCTGTAGTTACTTTCGCGATAAGCTTTCGCAAGCTTTCGCGGCCTGCTGGCTTTCACGGAAATTCTATTTGACACCCCCCTTTACTACTTTGTATTGTCAGGGTTTACGGCGGTGCTCATTTGAAGCTGTTCAAAACCACAAAGGGAGAAAGTACTGATCCTGATGAATCAACTTCAGCTCCCGACCCAACTCCAACTAGGCTGGGCTCAGTCAAGCCTGCGGTCTGCAGAAGAGGCCCTATTGGCCCCTCATTTCGGACTCTCGGAGTGAGGGGAATGTCCTTTCAAGGGTTGTTCCGCCTCAGGGAGTCTTTTGGACGCCTGGGTCCGCGCAAGTGACATCCTCAAAAGTTCTTTCAAAATGCTCGCTTCAATGGAATCTGGGGCCCAACGTAGCCTGGATGGAGGGACCCCTCCAAATGGCACCGTTTTCAGGCACCAGGCACTGCAGCCAATGGCCCCCCATAGCCGGACATGCGGGCGAGCTGGTCTGCCAAAAGCGTCGCTTGGTCCTGGGGCTCACAGTTGCGGTCGTTTTAAATACAAAGGGGAGCCGGGGGGGGAGAATATGATGGCGTTCGCCTAGAATTTGCTGGACCAACCGAAAATGACGTGTTCTTTAGGCATGGTTTAAACAAATCTTGCTAAAACAAATAAATTTTGGTGTCCCTTTGAGGGAGCCGAAGGTCTGGTCAACAATTCTTGTCCAAACAAGCACGAAGCACCTATTCAAAAGCCAAAGGCCAACAAATCGCCGGTGGGCTGGCAATCCCCCTGTTTGCTGGATCTCCACGAAGCCCTACTTCTGGCGTTTCGAATGGACCCCAAACGCTTTTGCAAGTAAGTGTAGTATGGTGCAATATACGAAGTACATTTTGGCAGCTCCACAGCGCAGGTCGCAACTTTTCAGTACAAATGTACAAAGTACATTTTGGCAGCTCCAGGGAAGGCTGCAGGGCAGCTGGTTGGGTTCGGCATGGAGGCCAATGAGTTGGGTATCGGTTGGGTATCGGTTGGGCATCGGTTGGGTATCGGTTTGGGCCCTGCAAATTTATTATTCCGCAATCTTGGTTTGCGACAACAACTTGGACCTGATGTGTGTCTTCATGGCTTCTGGGGGTATCGTTTTTTCCTCTGTATCTGTTTACAATGGTTTTGGCCATGGTTTTGGCCTGCGAAACAAGTTAAGGGACGGCCCCTTACATAACGAAAAGGCGCGGGGTTGTTTTTTCAGCCCCCTTGGGTTTTGTGGGGAAACAGGTCACCGCTTCTCCCTTTGATCATGGGCAAATGGGTGTCTCTCTTTTTTGACTGGACATCCTTCTTGGGATTTGTTGAAAGGGCAAAAGAAACATGGTTGACTGGCCCGGCACACATTCAGACACGGAAACCTTCCCCTCCACCATTTTGCGCTGACTGATGAATTGAGATCAGTTTCTGACATGCCCGGTGTTCCATAGTCATTGATCCCCGACAACCGGAACCCCTACAGTGGTGGTTTGGACCCCTAGATGACCACTTCTAGTAGCCCTAAGAAAGCACATTATTTTGACCATGACACATGTGGAGACTGGACGCCGTCCTTGGAAAAGCTGCGCGGAAACGATGGCTTCTGCCTTCCAGGACCGGCAAACATGTAGAGTTTGCTTCCATTTTGGTTCCTGCGTGCGCGCGTGGGTGGTCGCCGTGCGTGTGTGGGTGGGTTGCTGTGTGAGTGTGTGGCTGCGTGGCTGTGTGTGTCTGTGTGTATGAGGGAGGCGTGCGTGCGTGTGTGTGCGCGCGGGCATTTGCGTGTGCGCGTGCGTTTGCGTGAGCATGAGAGTCTGCGTGCGTGTGGGCGCGCGCATGGGCGTGCGAGTGCACGTGCGCACGCGGGCGCGTGGTGTGCGTGCATGCGTGCGTGCGGGCGAGCGGGCGGCGGCGCGGGGGCGCGCGCGTGCGTGCGTGCGTGCGTGCGTGCGTGCGTGCGTGCGTGCGTGCGTGCGTGCGTGCGTGCGTGCGTGCGTGCGTGCGTGCGTGCGTGCGTGCGTGCGTGCGTGCGTGCGTGCGTGCGTGCGTGCGTGCGTGCGTGCGTGCGTGCGTGCGTGCGTGCGTGCGTGCGTGCGTGCGTGCGTGCGTGCGTGCGTGCGTGCGTGCGTGCGTGCGTGCGTGCGTGCGTGCGTGCGTGCGTGCGTGCGTGCGTGCGTGCGTGCGTGCGTGCGTGCGTGCGTGCGTGCGTGCGTGCGTGCGTGCGTGCGTGCGTGCGTGCGTGCGTGCGTGCGTGCGTGCGTGCGTGCGTGCGTGCGTGCGTGCGTGCGTGCGTGCGTGCGTGCGTGGGTGGGTGGGTGGGTGGGTGGGTGGGTGGGTGGGTGGGTACGGGTGGGTGGGTACGTGTGGGTGTGTATGTGTGTGTGTGTGTGTTTGCGTCAAGGATCCAACCCAACAGCCGCTGTATGTTTCAGTGCTGTCATTTACTTGGTGGCCACTACCACCACCACTTCTGCCCCAAGCATTGAGCTTTTTGCTGGCTAAGGGCAAAGTGGGTTATAACCCGGGTAGCTGCCTACTGAGACGTCTAGCCCATTTAGCAAGATGTGCTACCAAATGCAAAAACCACACTCACTTAACGTACTGAACTCTTGCAACCGCAAGATACCGCAAGCAAGCGTTACTGTTGTAACAGGAAGTTGCCTCAACTTCTGGCCGGGATTCTTGCCCCCGTGGACCGCTGCACATCAACAGCCCCGGAAAGTCACATCAACAGCCCTGTGAGCGCTTGTTTGCGTTTATTTTCGCGATTGCGTTTGCGTGCGTGTGTGTTTTTTGTGTTTGAGTTTGAGTTTGTGCTTGCGTTTGAACTTGCGTTTGTGTTGTATTTGTGGATGTATGTGTATGTGTATGCGCTTGGTGTGTGTGTGTGTGGGTGGGTGGGTGGGTGGGTGGGTGGGTGGGTGGGTGGGTGGGTGGGTGGGTGGGTGGGTGGGTGGGTGGGTGGGTATGTGTGTGGTGTGTGGTGTGTGTTTGTGTCTGTGTGTGTGTGTGGGTGTGTTTGAGTTTGTGCTTATGCTTGTATTTGAGCTCATGATGTTGTGTATGTGTATGTGTTTTGTGTTTGTCTGTCTTTGTGTTTGTGGTTGCGTGTGTGAAGCCCTATGGAACACAGGGGGTAGCGGCAAAACCCCCCCTCTTAGGCCCGCTACCAACGACGACGCCCACTTGATCTGGTGATGTGTGAGCTACTCGGATTACTCCGCTTTCTACATGGCCTGATGTCTTCTTTCGCCGTCTTTTGTTTACTGTTCCTTGGTGCTGCTGATCTCTGCACTCGGTTTGATCCTGGCATCCCTGACAGGCGCATGACACGGTTCGGCAGATTCGAGGATCTTCTTCTCGAGAGTGTGTGTGTGTGTGTGTGTTTGCTTTGTTTTTTTGCTTGTCTGTCTGTGTGGCTGTCGCTGTCTCTGTCTCTGTCTCTGCCTCTCTCTCTCTCTCTCTTTGTGTGGGTGGAGGGTAAAAGCCACTGGAACCTGGAACGGCCAGCACCAACCGCAATGCTTCCACAGATTTCGATCGAAGGCATCTTTGCACACATTGACCCTTCACAGGATGCCCACTGACCCTTCTAGAAAAAGGAGAACCCTTGCCGTGGCTCACCGTTTTTAGAGGGGCACCCACGGAACAAAAAGGGATCACACCGAATAACTGGGATATTATTCAGCGGGGATCAAATCACCGTCCAATCCGCAAAATACCTATGAAGGCTTTCTGGAAGAAAGATCTAGAACACCAACTATTTGGAGGGACACGCATGTGTGTAGTCGCTTCGCGTCGAAAAGGAGGGTTTCCCTTTGAAATCACTACCCATATGGCCACGGGTCAAAACCCCGTACCCCCAGTGAGCATCCCAATCCCCACTAAAATAGGTTCTAAAATGGGTGGTGAATTCACCCGCCAAAATGGTATCATTGGTTTTGACCCACAGCCATATTCAGGGGCGTGTGCAGAGGGACCTTTCCCAATGATGATCCTTTTTGGAGTTCACGGCGGCCAACTGATTCCATGCAGTTCCTTCCACGAAACGCTCAGGGCTCAAATCAAGTTCGAGTGTGGGGAGGGGATTGACAGGTACACTCACTTCTGATCGGCTCCAACTGAAGAGAAAAACACAGGGAACTTTCAACCACAAATGGGAAATAAAACAAAGGAACATGAAACAAAGGAAAAATAATCAACACCACCTCGCCTTTTTAAGGGCAGCGCGCCCGCGCCTGAGCCTCAACCGCAGCGCCTCCCAGCGGGCGCGCCAGGGGTTCCGGGGCTCCAGCTGGATGACCTCGAAGTCCTCCACGCACGCCTTCGTCGAATTTCGAGGGCGCGGCGCGGCCCTTTTTGGGGTGGTGGGGGTTTCGTCCTGGTTTTTGAGGGGACCGGGACCCCCCAAAGTTTGGCCGGCTTTTTTTGGTCTGTTTCCCTTTTCATAGCACAAAAAAGGGGGTACCCTCGCAAAAAGACGGACCCTTTGATGATGCCCCTTTGTTTTTTTCTTTGGGGGGGAGGTGACAGTGGGTCTCACCAAGTTCCTGGCTTTTTGGTTGGTTTAGTTGAGACTTTTGGAGTGCGACTTTTTGAGAGTACACTTAGGCGAAAGTAGATAGCACAATTTTCTGAACGGGAATGTAAAGGGAATGACTAAACCCAATTGGGGGGTGCCATGTACTTTCACCCAAGTGTACCCTTCCTTGGATTTGGGTGAAGCGAAAGGGACATCACCCGAAGTGTTGCCGCTTCAACTATCCTTTAGCGCAACTATCCTCTGGCATGGAACCCCCAAATTCAGGTCTTGGGAAAAGCAAACAACAACTCAAGAACACCCGGCCAGGCCATTTGTCTCCGCTTGCTACTTGAGTCACCAAACATGGTGTGTGGGCACAAAGAAAACATACTTTCCATTGGAGTTGCAGCCAAAAGCCAGAGAAAATGTTCACCATCACCGGATCAAGGGAACAGCGGAAAAAAAAACACGGCTAAGCCGCTGTCTTTTGCCATAGTTCTTGCTCTTACAGGCAGAAACGTCCGACTGGGAAATACCACAAACCCTTTCTGTGTGCTAAGCTCAACCCAAGCCACCCAAACCAATACCGTATCTTTGGTCCCTTGCTTACAACCATGTCCAGTCCCCCCTTTTTCCTAATGACCAGCCCAGAAAGCACTAAGGCGAACAAATAAATTCAGGCCTCTGCGGGAATGCTTTGAAAAGACGTCATCCACCAAAAAATGTGTAACGAAAGCGAGACCGGTTCGGCCTTTTGCTCTCACCGCGCCTGCTGCAGCCTCTGTAGCTCCTGTTGAGACTGATCGGGAAACCAACGGGAGGCTGTTTCAACAGCTCGGTTCAAATTGAGTAATTAAAGCGAGTGACTGAGGTGCGAGCTTCCTGTGGGTAAGCCATGTGTGTCAAAAACAAAGGGCTTGCAACCCTTTAGACCTTCTGGCTTAATTAACTTTGAAAAGAAACACAAACCACCTCGGTTGACCCTCGATTTCGGATGGGGTGACCAGAATCCTCAACACACGGCCCTCCTCCCGCGCCAAGAAGGACTCGGCCGCATCTTGGTCCGGGAAGTGCAGCAGCGCCAGATGGTCCGAGTCCGAGCCGTTCAAACTTTGCGGCATCAGCCTCGCGACGTTTGAATTTTTCCCTGCGCCAAAACCAAAAAAGCCGTCGGAAGGCCCGGAATTGGGGGTCCACGATCCAAAAGCGGTGGGAATGTTCATAGATTCATAGATGGTGAAATGTATCAAATGCTTGTCCAGCGCAAGAGCTCAGGTTTTGAACAATTGGAACTGGCTCAACCTGGGTTTACATGGCTAATCCTCTTTCTAAGCCTCGCAGCGGTTCTCGGCTGGGTTCGACTCAATGTGGGGTACGCCGGATGTTTCCCGAAGCAGATTAGTAGCCCATCAAGGGTCAACGATGGGACGACAGCCGGGGACCATGCTTCTCTGAATTGATCAGTGTCAACCAACTAATCAACTCATGGTGAGTTGTTGCTTGGCACCTGAACCAGACCGAACCTCCACGTTGGTCCTTGGTTGGATGTTTGCCACCACTCAGGTGTCCTGAAACAACGGGGGCTCTCCCGAGGCAAGTCGAGCCAAGTCACATGCCCTCCAAGACGAAGCGTCCCTCACAGGACTCCGTAGCCATAGGCAGCTCCAACAGGAAAGTCCCTGAGCCGAGGGTCGGACTGCCCCCAGAAAACAGAGTGCTATTTCCTTCCCGTTTAAAGGTGCGTGGAACCCAGGAATTGACTGATTTTGGGGGTTAGCCCCAGTTTGAGGTGCTTAAAAGGGAAAAACACACCAAGGAACTTTGAGAAGCGAACACGTGTCTCACAACTAACTCAAATATTGCAACCACAAATCACACCTTCCTGTTCGTCCAGGGACCATTTTGTTGGGTGCCAAATCGTTTGAGCCATAATCAAAACCTGGTACTAAACTGGTCTACCCAGAACCATGTCACGAATTAAAAATGCGGCTGCACCAATTTTTATGGGAAGGGGATTCTCCCTTAACCTTCATCTACCCGAATCGGTTTTTGAGGACGTGGCTCATTTCAACTCCCGGATCCGCGCGCCTGCGGTGGCCTGATCTCTGAGCTGCCCCCGCCGGCGCATGATGCGCCGTAAATAGCCCGCCTCGCTCGTTCCCTTTAAAGGGAACACGAGGATTGCGTGAAGCCCATCCATCATATATTATGCTTAAAGGTTAGGATAATTCCTTTTCATGGTTAGGAGGGAATGTGATCCATCATGAATTGTGGTGCCTTTTGTTTGAGGGCATGGGTTCTGAGGGATCCATATGCAAGTTGGCGTCCGTGCAAGGTCTATGCAAAGCTTCGGCTGACTTCTTGGGGCTGACACACACACACACACACACCTCACGAGAAGAAGAGAAGAATGTCCAAAGCATTCCAAAGCATTCGATCAGCCCGCCGTCCCAGGTGGTTCCTTGCTCCGTGCGAAAAGCAATTGGATCAATGCGCAAAACACATGGCAGAGTTCAGCACGGAGCGCATAAGTTATTTAAGAGCGGGAAAAGCTGCGGCGAAAAGAAAGTCGCGTCGCGACGGGCGGAGAAGAGGAGCCCAAAGGCAGAAGCGCGACGAGGCAGAAGCGCGCGAGGAGCGAGCCGCCAATGGGAGAAGGATGGCGAGAAAGCGGACAGAGCAGGGATCCGGATGCATTATACACCTGAACATCGCAACTTGTAAATGGTGGTTTCCTTTATTTGCCATGTTTCAAATGGGCAACATGTATCGTTTAAGGAGCCCTGTGGAGAGATGGTCGGAAAGAGCGAAGGAAAGAGTGGGCAAATGTTCGGGGAGTCTTGGGAGTAGAGCCTGGGGAGGGAGCCCGTACAGGAAAGGTCATCTTCCGAAGCCAAAAATTATTGGACGGCAGCGAGCACACAGGTTTTTGTTTTCACAGCAATGTGGGAATCACTCGCCCCAATTCTTGCTACATCAAGAAAGACTCCAGCTACCAAGCTAGCTTTAGTGAACAGTTCTGAACGATGCGCAACTTGGATCGTTCGGGAGTCTTACTCCGATTGCCTTTCGTTGGTGTCCATTCTCGACTTGACGAGCATCATGGATTTTGGGGACTTGTTTTGCGGAGAGTTGTTTAGCGAAAGCAATGCTCCTCTCATTTAGACGTTGAGGTGGGTTCCGTGCTATTGCGCAGGAGAGGACTACTCATGCTAACCTCGTTGCCTTGAAAACATCTCGGGGTTCGCGGATCCGCGGCATGGCAAACGCTGGCGTGCTCCAGGCATCAGGCCAAACAAGTTGGGAGGCAAAGCTCTCAGCTCGCATTCCGAGCCCCAAATCGGAAGTCGGTTGCCTGGGGAGCCCCTTTTGGCCCATGGAAACAACGGGTTGATCCAAGCCGCGAGAAAAAGCGTGATCATCTTTGGACAAGTTGGGGTGATGGTCGCGCCACAGACGAAACATGAATCTGACAGGGCACCCACATTCTGTAGGACCAGCCCACAAGCCCACGTCTGTCAGCAGAAAAAAAGAGCTTGTCAAATCACACCTGCCATGCTCCAAGATGGTCCAAACTCCTGTTGGCAGGTTGTCACAGTTCCGTTGATCCTCCTGGCTGTCTTCTTATAAGTTCCCAGGATCCATGAAGTAACAGGATGGTGTTGTGAGCGCGGCCTGCATGCGGTTTCACTGGCCAAAGATGTCAAGTAGCAGCAGCTCCTCCAGCAGTTCTTGCGATGAGGCTGCCCAGCACCGGTACGCACCTCGGAAAGATCGCCTCTCAGAGCCGACTTGCAAGGGGAGAAATTGCAAGTGACTAGTAGGGATCAAGAGGCTAGTATTCCAAAAGGCCGTAGGAAAGCAAAGCTTCCGCAAAGCCCGTGTCTCCTCGGGGAAGATGACAGCAATCGGCCTTCTCCAACTGACTTCCAGGGACTCCATGGGCACGGTTTCGGGGGCTTGCCAAGCTGCACTGCCAAGGTGGCGGCGCCAGTGGCAGCAGTCGCTGCTAAACCAGTGACAGCCGCTGCCGTGGCAAGTTGGGTTCGAACGCCCCCGGAGCCTGACCGCGTGACGCTAGCACCGCGACGATCAATCGTTTTTTGGCCGTCAAAGATCCGAACGGCGCACAAAAATGCGTGGAGCTTGCAACAGCAAAAACATCAGAGGGCCCAGGAGCCTTTGGGCTTATCGTTTCTGCTCTGCTAGCATATGACACCCCTTCCGCAATTCGAATCCCCCACTTTGAAGGCACAGACTAAGTTGCGATCTCCCCTCCCAGCCCAGTGACCCTGGTAGAATACGACTCCAAGGACTCTAAGGCCTTCAGCTCCATTTTGGCGCCGCCACTTTTAGCAAGGAACCCAACCACAAGTCGGATGTGGGAGCTGAACTGGGACTTTTTGGCGCCTCAGGACTCGGTCCCTTAGGTGTCCTTCTGGAAAAATAGATCCTGGTAAATGGAACAAAACCCATCAAACTATATGGCTGTCGGAACCCAGGAAACCCCTGGTGAACATCAAAATAGCTGGCAAATGGATGTTCATCCACCCCATAATGGAGCCATAGGTTATGCCCGATGGCTAATATAACCAGTGCCAACCATGTCCATCCAACCGAATCCAACCTAAAAAGGACACCTATGCTTGGATTTCCCCCAATGAGCCGTGGCAACTCGGGTTCGAAGTGGAGCCCGCCTGTCTCCTCCGTAGTCTTCCATGGCTGCCTCGACTCCGGGCGCACCTGGCAATCCAACGAGATATCCCCAACATTGCGATGCATTTACGTAGATTCCACCCCGTTTCTCTTATTTGGTACTCTTTTCGCACCTTCCACTTGCGTTTTTGCCCCCTGGCAAAAATAGCAACATGTCCAGTAGCGACACATCTCCTGTAAAGCCAAAAGGGGGAAACAAAACATATGCAAATGGAAGGCAGGGATGTTTGAAGGCCTTGATCGGGCAAGCCTCGGCACATTAAATCACGGACCTTGATATGGCAAGCCTCGCCACATTGAATCGCAAGGTCAATGTCAAAATGGCTCTTGTCAATCATGATTCAGTCTGACCTGCGGTTTTTGCCAAACTCTCGTCTAAGTTGCACGATCTTCAAGAAGAGGGCCATGCGTTGATTGCCAACAATGTTTCGAACTGTTGATTCCCAATTCTGTGCAACCATCGCATTTTTCCCCGACAAACCGGCCGTTTCTGGTTTTGACCAGGTTAGGGAAAGGCGAATGTCTGAAGATGGGAAAGTCAGTTCCCCAAGCCAATGATGACCCCTTGATGACACCTCGATGACCAGTTAGTCAGGAGAGTGTCCCCTTGTTTGGCTTTGTGCGACGGAGTTTGCTCAGTTCACCCATTTGGCTCTGGATACGCGTCCTTCGGATTTAGGAGCCTCCCCCAGCAAAGCGTGCCTTCTCAGAAAATTGCGAAGGCACTGTGACCCTGAGAAAACCCCGTGCCCAAACATGAGGTACCCCGCAGTAAAATTGGTCACCGCGCTTTTCCAGGGCCATCCCGTTTCTTTGAGAAGGCACGGTGCCCTGGGGAAGGCTCGGGGATGGGGGTCCAGACCCTCATAAAATAATATGTCGGACCCGCTTTTGCGCTAATATGAGGGTGGTTTTCCCAATTCAGAACCCTGTGACTTTCGGGGTTTGCTTTGATAGACAGTGGCGGTTCCGGGGAAAATCCGGGCAAAGGACTTTTTGTTTGAAGTGGTCACCAAATCATCGAATCTAAGATAATTAACTTCTGTACCAGTACAAAGCAGTAAGGGCAAAGAATCACACCAAGAGGGTTGCCCACAAGAGGCCCTGATTCGCTTTAATGTGACTGTTTTGGGGGACTTGCTGAAATTCCCAACTCAAAGTCTTAGCCTTTCACTTTTAAAGGGGCATCCTAAGCTCCTCCCAGCTCCAATACTACAGCACTGGGAATCTGAAAGTAAGTCTTGGCACTAAAAGAAAGTACTAGCAAGTCCAAGTCACACCCAGACCCCCAGGATTTTGACTAAAGAGGACCCTGGTTCCATTGTTCAGGTGCCGGGTTCAAGCAGACCCAACATTAATCAATTGCGAAAGCAGAAGTCTAACAATATAACAATTTCAAAACACAACAAACCCATGTCTCTAGTATTTCATCTTGGCCTCTTTCACAATGCCCCGGTTTGGGTCAGTGAGTTTGCCAAACATTGACTCATGTTGGCCCATGTTTCCCTTGGACTGATGTTTAAGTCAGTCATCGTGCCACAGCCAGCTTCAGTTCAATCCCAAGGACCAATTAGGAAAGGCCCAAGAATTGCCCGTTTCCAGGTCCATGAACCACTCTTAATTATTTGAGCTTCCGGGATGGGCCAACCCCCGGCATGATCTATACAAATGGCTTCAACAATTTCCGTTTGGTTCCGCTTCAGCCAGGGTCTGGTTGTTCAAATAATTGTTGCCCCCGATTTCTTCCATGTCAGAATTCGCCGCGGGCATGCTTTGTGCACCTTCTGGTTCAGCAACGCGTCAAGCCGCCGTGCAAATCGCGACAACAACACCTGCAGAATCCGAGCAACTCACCTGACGCCCTCCAAGTGTGCTTGCAAGTGGTGAATGTCAAACCGAGGCCCTGCAATAACATGCTTAGGCGTTGGCTTCCTGCTGACATAAGCCAAAAACACTTCTGAATCCTGACCCATGCCCATGCTGCCCTTTTTCAGACCCGCGGCATCCGCAAAAAAAAAAACGCCTGGCCCCACGGGCGGCCATTTCAACGACTGCTCTCAGCATACCACGCACGTTCACGTTTAAAACCACCCCCTGCGGGACTGGGATTCTTCCCCAAGGCCCGGCTTGAGGCCTAGCACCTTCCAATGGAGGTTGAGGTGCAGACCCTTTCAAAGGGTCCAATGATCCTTAGGGTCGCATCTCCCAAAGGATATCGGGTTTTGCACGAGAGACTGTCCTAGCACTGACATGGCAAGCCGAAGCTGGACGAAGCCCACTTCGCAGGGACGGATCAAACCCGGAAGAACCGACTGGTGCGAAGTGGATCTCGTCCGACCATCAACAGTATCTCTGGTTCCAACTAAACTCCAAGGAAACTGCACGAACCAACTTGACTTAAATGGCTGTTTT